AAACATAACCATTCACGAGAATAGAAGAATTTTAATGGCTTACGATTGATTGCTTGGTGCTTCTCCAATGCAAACAGATTCGTCGGCCAATTTCACATGAAGAGCATCTTTATCTATGGTTGAGTAAACTGCGACACAAGGGATCCCCATCTCATGAGCAGTCCGAATCACACGAACAGCAATCTCTCCTCTGTTAGCCACTAGGATTTTGTCATTAGCACATCTAGCAGCAAGAGCGCCTCCATGTTTTCTATCTCTACCAACACGAGAAGCCTGAACTCTCTGTCGAGGGTAGTTAACCTTACTTCCTACCATAAAGCTACATTGGGAGCTTTGAATTTGTATTATCCTCCTCACGAATAAACCCTTCCAAGAAAAGAAACAGATTTTTTAACTCCCAATTATGGAACCATAAAGGAACTAATAAACAACCAATAAAAGAAGGCTGCAGTCACCAAAAAGGGATCCAAACATTCTCGCTGTGACCAAAAAAAAAAAAAAATTATAATAATACTAATAACAATAATAATAATATATTTGAAACTTTTAGAGGAATGGGAATTAGTTAATTAGAATTCCTTAGGTACTACATAAACTATTTTCCTTCTCTAATCAGAGTATAATTTGACAGCTTAAACAACGTGTCAAACAACAGTTCAATTTCAAAGAGCTATGTAACTGAGAAAAAGGCAAGATCTTTTTACATACAGTACCAGTTGTAATTATGAAACCAAACTACACAAAAGCATATTCAAAATGAAGCCAACATTATTTACAAAAATAGTAAATATTGATCTTCAAGCCTTTATCTCCTTTACATATAAAAGCATACATTACAAGCATTATAGTAGTATATTTCCAAAACAAAAGCATCATGTTTTGTTGTAAATAATCGCAAAAAAAGCACAGAACTGAAGAGTCAAGAAACAGAATTGCAATGTAATTTGAATTCCTCAACTAGAGGACCAGATAAATCACAAGATAAAATCAGAAACAACACTTGTTAAGAATTGGTCGTCCAAATAGTTTACATGGTAGATATTTGACAAAATGTCCTTCTAATTGCAATTTTACGTGTACTTAGTGCATATCCAAGTGTTCATATACAGCATACATAAAGAATTTGCACACTTATGACCTCACTGAGAAAAAAATAAATCGTATAGACGAAACATGAGGACTTACAGGAGGTGAGCATATAGATTTACTGCAAAAAGTCATGGCTGCGGAATCCATCTTCAGACCAATCAAATCAAATCGTCCTCCTAAACGAATAAACAAAAAGAAAAGCACAAACCCATCATCGAAAGGTGGTAAACAAAACCAAAACGAAAGCAATGTGATGATAAATCAGCATTCCATTATCTTTGCGCTTCACATTATTAGATCTGCTAATAGAGCCTATACCGTGAAATGTGAGGTGAAAGATATAATTCTGAACAAAAGTTCTTCTTCTCCAGAGACAGAGAGAGAGACAGAAAAGCACAAACCCATCATCGAAAGGTGGTAAACAAAACCAAAACGAAAGCAATGTGATGATAAATCAGCATTCCATTATCTTTGCGCTTCACATTATTAGATCTGCTAATAGAGCCTATACCGTGAAATGTGAGGTGAAAGATATAATTCTGAACAAAAGTTCTTCTTCTCCAGAGACAGAGAGAGAGAGAGAGACGAATGAATAGTGGGCCGGGGTCAAGTGGAAGAGAGTCATGAAGGAAAGGGTGTCGATGAAAACGAGGAAGCGGACTTGGGTGAGTTTCGAATGCTCCGCCAAAGGGGTTGATTTTGTAATTTGCATTTTCAATTTGTAATTCTCTTAGAAAATGATAATTATTATAATCAAATACAAAATACACAGTTGATTTTAGATTTTATTATTTTCCTTCTGTTATTCTTTCTTTTTCTCTTAATTTTAGCCCCCGTTTAGTCCCCATTTTTTGAAATAATATTTTTTTGAATAATTAGAAGTTAAAAAAATTAATTTACGTGTAATATTATTTTATAGAAGATTATGTGATTGAAAATAGGAGAGAAAAAATAAAATGTAATTTAATAAGGTCAAACGAGGGTTTAATATGCTATTAAGCCCTTGTTGAGCCCCTTTTTTTAAAAAAATAAATTCTTGAATAGTGTTTTAATTCCATTTCAACCACATATTTTTCATTAAAATAATATTATACGTAAATTCAAGATTTTTCTTTATTTTTTATCACATATTTTTCATTAATATACTATTCAAAAATTCTTTTTTTTTTAATAAAAATGGAGCTTAAACAAGGGCTAAATTTTTTCTAATGTTTTTTTTCCTTTAATTTTATACCACGTTATAGCACAAGTTTTTAGCCAATTGAATTATTAAAAAATGATCTCTGAAAGAAAAGCTAGAATCGGCTTTGCGAATGAATAGTGGGCCGGGGTCGAGTGGAAGAGAGTAATGAAGGAAAGGGTGTCGATGAAAACGAGGAAGCGGACTTGGTGAGTTTCGAATGCTCCGCCAAAGGGGTTGAATAATTAGTGGTTAAAAAAAATTAATTTACGTGTAATATTATTTTATAGAAGATTATGTGACTGAAAATAGGAGAGAAAAAATAAAATGTAATTTAATAAGGTCAAACGAGGGTTTAATATGCTATTAAGCCCTTGTTGAGCCCCTTTTTTTAAAAAAATAAATTCTTGAATAGTGTTTTAATTCCATTTCAATCACATATTTTTCATTAAAATAATATTATACGTAAATTCAAAATTTTTCTTTATTTTTTATCACATATTTTTCATTAATATACTATTCAAAAATTCTTTTTTTTTTAATAAAAATGGAGCTTAAACAAGGGCTAAATTTTTTCTAATGTTTTTTTTTCCTTTAGTTTTATACCACGTTATAGCACAAGTTTTTAGCCAATTGAATTATTAAAAAATGATCTCTGAAAGAAAAGCTAGAATCGGCTTTGGTGATTTTGATAATATGAAAAATAATTATCAAAAATTTTAAGGTATGTGTATTAAGCCCCATATTGGTGTAGATTGAAATCAACTTTCTAGTAGACTTTGATTTAAAAAAAAAAAAAAAAATTGACTTAATGTGTGATTGATAATTTGAAAGTCACGTTATATGTGTGATTAAAATTAATTGTTAATTCAGACTTGAGAATCATACCAAGTGGAGATTAAATTTAAATAAACATTTTAAATTTATTGTGTTTTACATATTTTGCACTCAATTTTTTTGCAGATGAGAAATTAGACCAAATGATGCCAGAAGGCTACCATTTGTAAAGTAGCACAAAATTGAGGAAGGTCAAGCGAATTAAAGCTATGTCGATAAGGTGTGTTTGATTGTAAACATGGAATTTATATGGAAATAAAATAAAAATTAGGCAAATTAATTGTTTAGAACTTATTTATATGAAAATTGTCTAGCAAATGTGTTTGAATGATTTAATTTTTAACGTAAAAAATGTTATACTGTCTATTTTTATTGACGAGTAGATGAGAGAAAAATAGAGATAATTACATGAAAAATAAAAATCTACTCCTAAAAAAATATTTTTCTTATTTTTAAGGAAATTATAGTCACGTAATCAAAAGTAATAAATTGTTTTCCAAGAAAAAATATCAATCAAGCGGAAAAAAAGTAAGATTCTTGGTGGAAATATGACATTTTTCATGAAAAATATTAACAATCAAGCACACCTAAGTATAATATAATAATTATGCGGTCATACAAAATTATTGGTTTTCTTTGATCGATTGACTACGGTTAATTAAATATGTGTGGACAATATGTATTGTCGTTTTCATAATCTCATTTAGCTCTATGAGATTTAAGTCGTACGATCTAAAGAAAACAGATTTATTATTGATAAGGAAATGCATTAGAAAAAGTAATTATTTATGTTATATCAATATCTGGTAAATATCGCGCTAATAATACCCTAGAAAAGTACATTTCTACGCATTATGTTAGAAAAATAATTAGTTGCAGCAGTGATCAGAACAATATAATGCAGAAATATAAAACTTATCGTCCGATCGAGTCTCGTGACAACACGATGTCCTAAAGTGAAATTGCCCGTCAATAATTGCTGTGACCTCCGTGAACAATCACTCCCAGGATACAACGATCGTAAACCACTTATGCAGCAATCACGAATGGTTTTTCTAGAACTCTCAATTGTACTCCAAAATAGGTATAAAAACCCGAATATAAGAAATTCACAATATAAAAAGAGTGATTGATTCTATTTTCTATTTATGTGTCTTTTCCCAAAGCAAGATATGGGTTTATATAGGCAAGATGGTAGTAACAGTTTTCACCATGTTAATGCAGAATTTTAATGACTGAGTAGTGGGTGTTTTAATGGCAGTTAGTGGGTTGTTACAAAAACAAACAGTCATAAAATACTGGCTAGTTTTACCCATTAAATAATGAAGAAAAAAAAATATTTATTTTAGTCAAGGAAGCCCAAGGCCCAAATCAAGACATTTTAATATTTGCGTGGGGAGTGATTCGAACCACTGATTTCCCACACAAATGTCACATTTTCCACCACTTTGGCACTTTATCTAATTTGATTATTTCTTTCATATTTTATATTTATACCATAAGTATATAACACATTAAACATTATTTTCAAAAAATATTATTTTGTTGTTACTAAAGAATCCCAAATATATAGATCTTAAGTATAATGTCACTGCCCCTGGAGAAACAAATTTCTATTATTAATATATTATTGTTGTGGAATGAGTATAATTAAATACTCTATAAAGTTTTTGTATATATCTATATTTTTGTAAGAGTTCGGGTAAATACTCTATATGAGTATAATTAAAAATATATATATGGTATCGTATTTCTCAATGTTTCTCAGGAAACACGATCCATCTATAATTATTTTCTTCATCAAACTTGATTAAACATAATTTCATAATTATATTAATATACTTGTTTCGCGCGGGTTAACTCGCTAACAATTAAAGGGAATCAGACGATTGTGTAAGGGACGAAACCTCTTGAGACAAAGTCCCAAAAAGGGGCGTTCTTTTATTGGCGATGAACTTTACAATTGGAAACGAAAAAACAACGTGCCTCCAAGGGGCTCAAGCACACGAGTTACAGAAAGGAAAGTGTTTAAGTCTAAAAACTAAAGAAATGAAAATTACATATTCTCTTGTTCGAGAGTTTTGGATTCGGTCCTTTGCTTCTACGCCTTTTCTCCCTTTTATACCTCATAGACGATCTCTTTGTGATTAACTACTCTGAAAACTGTTTGATCGTCCTATAACTACCCACTTTCTTTGTAGTGGCCATTTTGTCATGAAACCGCCTTTTAACTGCTGTCATTATCTTTCATCGTCCAACTGCCTTCGATTGACTTTCTTGAGTTGTGGAACGTGATAAGGCTGCTTTAACAACTGCCTTGATAACTGCATTCCTTGATAATTACGATGCGTTATGTTTGTTGACACCTTAGGCGACTTGAAGGTTTGGGCGAGAGTAGAATAACAGCTCTGGGCGACCGTATGACACCCGTTCGTTCAGATTCTGAGCGACTTGCAAACTTGGGCGATGGCATTACCGCATTCTTGGGCCTTCACCTTGACTCGTTTGATTGAACTTCATTCTTTGGGCCGTCTGTTTTGGGGATTCTCCAATTGGGTTTTACTCCTTGGGCTGTTCGACTTGGGCTGAATTTTTATGTGTCAACAATTACCCCCCAATATGGCAGAATTAATAATAATTATTGAATTTTGCCATATTCACTTCACGTCTCCAGCAACGTTAGCGATTCCCAAAGAATTTCAATCATTGTTTCCCTCTATAACTTGAAAAGGTGCGTCGCTTTGCGAACCCTTATAAACTTCAAACACACCATTTTGCTGCTACCAAATCACGTTTCATATTTCTTGCGCATTCTTCACGATTCACGTAACTCTGAAAAGCTTCGTTCCTTCTTCAATGGCTACTTCGTCATCTCAAGCTAGCGACTCCTTTAATTTTGATGACTTTCAGAAACTCCTGAGTCGTCCATACGTAACCCCAAGTTTTCTCGCGCCCGCCGACGTTGGACGTAATGAGTTTTACTTGGGTCCTTTCTTCAACAATGCGGAGGCAGTTGAACAGGCGGCGGTGGGTCAGCTGTTTCCTTGCACTCATGGCCCTCCTTTTCTGAATTCTTTGCCACTGGGGCCATTTCGTGAAAGAGGTATTCGCACTTCGCCCAAATCTGACGTAGCTTTTCGTAGGTGGCATGCTCGTATTGTGGGTCATGGTCCTACTAAGGCACTTTTTGATAGCGCTAGGATTTCTGATTTGTTGGAAGTCTCTATTCGCCCCCCTACTNCACCCACGTTCTGAGTGATGAGTCCTTAACTTCCCGCCTGAAGATTGTACCTGTATCAGCGGCCATGGAACTCGGTCAATTCATTAAATGTTTTATGGCTAAGTGTTTGGACAAGGAATATCATCCCCATTGAGGACTTCGCTTAGTGGTAGAATGATTTCTAGGGGTAGTGGTAGAGCGCCCTTTGGGGGTTGTAGTAGAGCGCTTCCCGGGCGTAATGGTAAAACGCCTTCTAGGGGTTGTGGTAGAGCGCTCCCTGGACGTAGTGGTAGAGCGCTCCCTGGGTGTAGTGGTAGAACACCCTATGGGGGTCGATGGCCTTGCATCGGTGTGCTGTGGTCTGCTTTGCTTGTCCTTGAGGGTGGTTACTTCTACCAACCTATATCAGAGGGTGTCAATGGCCATGGCTAATCTTATACCATTTTTTTTATGGCAGACATTATTGATCCGTGGCAAAAATAGAGAAATCATCCGGTGAAATGCTCAGTTTTAGAAAGGAGTAATAATACCTTATTCTTTGGCCAATTGTTCTCAGGTGTCATAAGGTGTTTGGTTTAGGTTTTTATAAAAAGGTTGAACCCCAACTTTGAGGTCTCCTACTGTCCCGTCTTTGGAGCATTATGAGAAAGGTAAATCACAAGATATGCCCCAACAGGTCAGGTTGGTTTAAGTTTTTATTGCTCTGTCCATCAGATCGATGTGTGGTGTTTGTCTAACTAAATAAAACAGAAACTACAAAACTTACGTCGGATAAATGCTGGAGATAAAAAGTTACATGTATGAAGAAGTAAAAATATTTATTTTTTCCCTTCAACGCATAGTAGTTCAATCTTCTCTTCAA